TGAACGAGGACCGCCCGCACGGCGCGAATCCCTGAGCAGGAATGGTCTTGGTATAGTAAACTCATTAGCAAAGAAAATTAAATATGATGCGTAAGCAAGATCACCACACACATTCTCATTTCCTGAATATTTATAGTATATCACATATTGATTGTATGCTGAGATAAACCGTACAACGATATTGCTCATTCAATTCAAAACAAAATGAAAGTCCACCTGATGAGATATTTACCGAGGGAGGAGTAACACTGAGGTAGTCAGATGATTGTACGCATATATGTAGCTATAGAATCTTGTCACCCGCAGCTTCTTAGGTTACTCTTTGAAAATTTTGGTGATACTGCAATCGCAAATTTTGCAATTTTTTCACTATGAAAAAATTTGCTTTGCGATGTTGATTAATTGGTATTCGAATAAAAAACAAAAGAATTCTCTCGTGATCTGTAGAACAAATTTGCTGAGGTAAATGGAATCAGATATTGAGCACAGTTTTGGCGTGCTTCTGAACAACGACGCACCAGTTTCCATGTTCAAATGTTGATCGAACAACAAAAAGTGAAGGGACAGAACTGATGAGAGTTTCCAGCTCCCCCTTGCGAAATACATGATAAAATCGATAGAATGTAACCTGGAAACCACTAACATTAACCAGAACCTAAGAAAAATTTTTAGAACCACCTCTCTAAGGGAAGCCATAGTCTCTGTCAGAGCTTCGCGAAGAATGTTTTGGGCCATTTCCTCGGCTAATTGTTCTTCTACTGGGATGAGTAATGTAGCTAATCGACGACCTAAACAAGGTTATTGGGACTTGTGTTCTGTGAATAATCCACACCAATCATAGACTTGTAAAACCCACCAAGCATCGGACTCCAACGCTTTACACCAGAAACAAGAGAATGTTTGGCACTGGGGAAAAATCTGGGGGCAGCTGGTGGAGGTGGGGGCACGCGATGACTCTCTGTCATCATTATGAAAGGTAATGATGGGCGTATAGATTGTACCTT